TCTGAGAACTTTTCCCATAGAAGTTGAAGCAAATCGGCTTTTCGAGATGCTCTTTGCTTACGACGCAATCGGACAACTTTCCCTGGTTACTGGTGGTAAAAAATCAAGGATATATGTGCTGTCCTGTTCTGCAGGTGGTTGTCCCGCAATGTGACATAATGACGACATAACGAAAGGATCAGACATCACGGCATAGCTCTGGACTCTTGACAGAAGTTTGTACGAAAAGTGAAAATGAGCCTCGCAAGTTTGAATGATTAAAAGGTATCGCTTATGACAATATTCATCTAGTTTAGATGACGCAGTAAACAGTGACGGGTGGTTAGCTCGAGAAAGGATTTTTTGATGAAAACACTCCCTGTGTGAAATCAACCCTCTGCTCTCTGTTAACGGAAAAATTGAGCTTGAAAAGAATACGTTTTATGAAGAGAGCATCTGAGAAAATGATTTTGGTTCATTAACTTCTCATTCTTATCTCACTGGAGGAATGTGAAAGTTGCAGCAAGAATGTATGATTTTTTTGTTATCTTTTTGTGTTCCCTTTGCTTAGACCAACTATCAAATTGTGGTGTAGTGGAGATTTGGTATTGTGGCGCTCCGTTAGTGATAGTACTCAGCAATCATATGATTGCTGGGTCAAATCGCACGTACGCTGCAATTTATATTGAAACAATTCTGTCAAAAAATTGCCTTCAGCAGCAATCGTTTAGGAGAATTGCCTGCCTCAAAACTAAAGATTTCTGAGAGAACCTTTTAGTTTTTTGCAATCTAAGGGTTTATGCGACAAAAAACTGATTTTTATCGAAACTTCTTCAAGTATCAGGTTTCATATCAACAGTATCAGTCCAGATTTCTAAAAAAAAAACATTTAAAAAAACAAAATGGAAAATTCAATTCATAAAAATGAGTTTTTGTTGTAGGAACTTCGCAATTTATTGATATTTAAGGTTTTTTAAATCCAAGCAGCATCACAAAAAAATCAATTGAAAAGCATACATTTTATTATTGTCAATTTACTCATTTATCCGTTGCTCGAGAAAGTTGAAAAAAAGGACCAGCACAATCGAAACTTGTGGAATCACAAACAAACAAAAGTTTATGTGGATAGTAAACTTAAGCTGTCGTGGAATCCGCAATTAAAAATGAAATCCGCAAATTGTAAGCGGATTCAGCCAATTGTTAGCGGATTCCGCAAATTGTAAGCGGAATCCGAATTGTAAGCTGAATCCGCGAATTGTGAGTGAAATCCGCGTAAATTTGCGGAATCCACTCACATTTGCAAAACCCGCTTTTTTTTGCGGAATCCGGAACAAATACCTAATGGTCGCTTGTTGCGGAGCCCGCGACATAACTAATGTGCCGGCAAAATTTACGTTACATGTATTTGCACGCGGAATCCACGGAAACTTTTGAAGTCGAATTCACTTGTGTTATCTATCTAAAAAATACTTGTCTGTGGATTCCATTGACATACAGACACCAAATTGTGCGCCTATCCAGTGCACAGTTTAGCCTCGCAATGGTATCAAAAAATTGTTTGAAAAGTTGTTTGATGGAAAAGTGGAGATGTACCCAATCGACGGATGCAAAACAGTATTAGTTATAAATGAGCTGAACTGCATGCACGATTTATTTACTATGTATATACTTTAAAAATTTAAAAAACCTTGGATTCGATTGAACCAAAAAAAAACAAAAAAAAAGATAAACAGAGCTTTTTTCACTTTCATTTTTCAAAAAAAAACACTCAAAGAAAATGGATGGTTTTTTTTATGATGTATTTGAATAAACGTAGCTGGTAAGCAGAAAAAATTTTCTCAATTTTGACGGAATCAAATAAAAGTCACTTTGTGGTGAATTTGAAGCGTTGTTTCAAAAACAAGTTTCAAAAACATCTTTTTGAGCGCCGATTTGAGCTATACAGAACTAGTTGAACTATTCAAATGAAGAATAGGCTAGTTTTGCAGACAAACAGTAACAAAATTCAAAAAGTGCAAATCAAGTTTTTTTTCTGTTTTTTATACTTTTGTTTCCCTTGCAAAATAAGATACCACAAAAAACCAACAGAATGGGTCGAGTGATATACCTATTTGACGCTATTGCAGTCGTGATTTTAACTGCATTAACAAAACGTCAAAGGTTTTTTCAGTATTGAGAAAAACAGGTTTAAAGTGTTTGAATTTTTTTTTAATTTTGAGAACTCAAAGCGAGGGAGCAAGCTTGCAACCGCTTAATTAAATCGATCTTACGCCCTGAAGTTTTAGTTTACTAATGTTAGGAATTTTTTAGCGCCGTTTTGGGAACCAACACGTTTGAAAAATGCATCATCTCTTTGCAAAAAGATTAGGAAAAAAGTATGGAAATTTGTATTTTGTTTTTTATTTTTCTTGTCATTATTCTTGGAAAATGTTTATCCGGTTTTTCCCAAATTACTATAATGTTAAGATTTCCTTTAGATCTTTCTTTCTCACCACGCAGAAAAAATTATACTCTAGTTTGAAAAATTGTAGTTTTTTCAAGACTATGATTAGAATATTCGGTGCTGCAGTAGCCGGCTATGCTTGTTTTTAATCTCTTTTTATTTGATAAGTTCATGGTTAATTTTGGCTGCGAAAACGAACAAAAAAATTCTTTTGAAATCAAAAAAAAAAGTTGGAATCTAATGAAATTAATCAAAATTCACAAAGTTTCCGGGGTTAAGTTGAGCAACGAAAACAAAAGATGAAATACTTGAAATCTTACCTAATTAATTATGATGCAGTTTGATTCTCGCAACTTGATTTTCACTTTTTGAAGTTTTTAACTGTTTGCCTGCAAAACTAGTCTATTCCTGATTTTATATATAATATCTGCATTTTATATATAATATTATATATAGTATCTGCAAATAAATTTTAATGTAGCAAAATGTTCGTTTTGAGTTTGATAGCCTTGTTCACAGCCGAAACTTTCCGGCCTTTTTCCAGCCAAAAATTATTTTTCCAGACGAGTTTCGTAATTCTTCTACTTGGCTGGAATTTATGCATAAAGTTAAAACAGAACTTCGTAGAAGAGTTCTCATTCCCATATGAACGAACGCGAAAAGTAGAAAAGACAAGTCTGCATTGGTTTTGCTCGATAAAAATCAATTTTATTGTTCCGACTTTCGATACGAAAGTAACGGAATATTTGTGCTCGGGGTGGGTTTTTTTTTCTTCAGACAAATTTCGACTTTTTAACTAGCCATTTTTGACGGAATTTTTTTATATCACTCAAAAGGTATTGTTGTCCTGAGCTTAAATTTGAAAAGATATTTCACCTGTGATCATTTTTCGTAAAGTTATGAGGGTTTAAAGATGGCCATTTTGACCAATTTGGGACAATTAACGCGCGATATAATTCGCGCTATTAACGCGTCAGCGGAGATTTAATCCGTCTTATAAATTGTTCCAAATTGGTTGAACGAAGCTTATTTGCCATAATTGATTTGTTACAAGGAACGAAATCTCTCTTTTTGTACTTTATATGGCGTGTGGGGGGATGATTTTCATAAAAAAAAATTCAAATTTTTAGAAAAAAAAATTTTCATTTTTTTTTTATTTCATTTAATTTTTTTTAGGTTTTTACTGCTGCTCCATAAACCTTAAAAGGCAGTCGGAATATTCAGGGCTTCGCCCTGATACGAGCAGTCTCAGGGACAATAAATGATCAATATATTTCTTATAGGTGCCAATTGTAAAGTTCAAATCCATATTCAATGGACTATAATTGACTTTTTCTAAAAATTAATAACACATTAGACTCCATTAAATAATTCACTAGATTTTTTCCCTTATGTTAGATTTTTTTCTCAACTTAAATTCTTGCAAATTGTTTTTTTTTCTCCTCATAAATCCTGTATAATCAAATCTTTTTCGCAAAAAAGTGCTTTCTCATCTTGTTGCACTTTTTTGGAGAAGACGGACGAATCAAATTGAATATTCGAATTAAATATTAAGCAACATGACACAAAGAACAAAGACAAACAAAATCAATTCACAAAAGCATTTTTTTTGAATATTTATTTTTTGTTGCACTTCTGTTTACCCACCCCCCCCCCCCCCCCCCCCCCCCCCCCCCAGAGTTTACAGTTCCTTAGCATTGAGCGGGGGGGGGGGGGAACTACTCAATGTAAAGTCAGTCTCTTTACTCCCATTTTAATTCCCTAATATTTTTGTGTTTTTAACCCCCCTCTCCACCACCCACGTAACGTAAACTCTGAGTTTCTTGTAAAATGTAGGCGGGGGGGACCGGGATGGTGGCAAACTGGGGAGGGGGAACTGGGAGAAGGTGTTAGAAGAGGTGGTGGAGTTTACAACAGGTCACCACCCCCCCCCCCCTTTCAATACAATTAAATAACCCGGTTCAACCACCTGACATGAACGTGAGAGGGGAGGTAAAGGGCGAATGGCAATTTTTACCATAGTGATAGCAAAAAAGAAAAAAAATAAAAAGTTTAGCCGCCCAATTGAAAAAGAAGAGAAAAATTAGACTGATAAATAATTATGGGAAAAAAATTATGGAACGTAAAACGTACTAACTGCTCAGAAAATGAAATAACTTTGAAAAGACTTGCAAGTTTATCAATAACCTCTGAAAAAATCCATTATATCAAATTATACTTGATTATAATGAATTATATGATATAAAAATTGGAATTATAATCCATTTTCCATGGGTTATTATCGACTTTACTGGGAACTTAAAGAGACTGTCAATGAAAATCGAGAATAATCGACCATTATCCCTGAAACCACAGAGGGTGAGAATTTTATTAGACTCACTTCTATTTCAACTTCAGCTTCACTTTCGAATAGGAATGTGCGCGTTTCAAAGTTGTTCTAACTTTAGTCTTGCAGTCAAATAGAAGATTTTGGAGTTTAAATAGAGTTTAACTTTTCCGAATGCAGGAGCATCTCGACTGCAAATCTGAAAAGATAAATAGCAAAATCGAAATGACCTTTTTGAGAATGAACTTTTTTAAATTTCAACTTTTGATATTTGGCATAAATTCATCTATTATGAAAGTAACAAATGTAATCGTTGTACACATTTATTGAAGAACTGGCATCTGAAATGATTGCAACTTTACTAGCAACTGTTTTGATTCCTCTAAGCACTCTTTGCGAGCAGCTTAACTCTAGGTCCCAGTCAAAAATACCAAATGAACTTTCGTCACCTTTGACCTCTCTCATTCTTGGGGGTCATTTGAGTCCGAGGCGGAGCTTTTATGTGAAGATAGAAACATGGCGGAGTAAGACATACACTGAGGCGTGTGGGGGGACCATAGTACATAGTCAGTGGGTCGTCACTGCTGCACATTGTGTGTATGGGGCAGAAAGTTAGTCCACTACAAAGAAATACATCGTTGAAATACATAATTGCTTTGCTTGAATTCACGAGAAAAAATCATTCTAGTTAAAAAAACCACATTTTTTTAACTGCCAAAAAATATAAAAATTGCTGCCTCCCCTTTAAAATTAGTATATATAGGCGACGAAGGCGCCTTTAGAAAAACTTTAATGTCGGTCGGCCGAAAAGAGATGTCTTAAAATAATATCAAAGGGGGAGGGACCCTTTTGTTGGTGAGTGTGTCGAATCCCAGAGGAGGAGGCGTCCGCATCCGCCCTCCCCCTAAATCCGCCCCTGTGACGAAGTACTAATAACCTTTTCCCCTTAATCATGTAAATGTGGGTATACTTCACTTGTTTAAGTGTTTTTTTTTGAGCCTGTTGATCGCATGCATAGTTTCATGTTTTGAAAAATCTGTTTTAAAGGGAGATCGTTTACAAAAAGTTTTTGACAACCACCATAACTGCTTCTGTAATAAACTTTTTGCAAACACTCTACAAGGAAAAAACTTCCTGAAAACGAAACATTTGAGGGGGAGGTGTACATGGAAAAGAGCCCAGTTTGCTTGTGGAGGGAGGGTCGCGTCATTTTCCTTGAAACCTGGCTCTTTCAATTTTCAGTTTTGTTCTCTCTATTTCAAACGAAATACGACAACTCGCAACGAAATACAACTCGCATTGTACTCACCGCGGCAGACACGTACAATAACTGATTATAGATGCATTTTAGTAGTCCAATTTTTGCCGATATAATTCAAAGTCTTTTTTTTCCATCAAATTCTATTTTCGGCGTACCTAGTATCATTGCTATAACCATTAATATGAAGTTTGTTTTCTTTAGATGAGCACATCCAAGTCTTCATCGGCGACTTCACAAAACCGGTCCCTGTTTCCACTTGGAGAAATGTGTCAGTTATTTATTGGTACGATGAGTAAGTGCCTTCCACTCAAGTCAGTTTTTGTTCCGACTTTCGATACGAAAGTAACGGAATATTTGTGCTCGGGGTGGGTTTTAACGCGTAAGCGGAGAATTAATCCATCTTAAAATCGTTCCAAATTGGTTGAAAGAAGCTTATTTGCCATAATTGATTTGTTACAAGGAGCGAAATCTATTTTTACTATTTTATATGGCGTGTGGGGGGATGATTTTCATAAAAAATTTCAAATTTTAGAAAATTTTTTTTTCATTTTATTTTAATACATTTAATTTTTAATGTTATTACTGCTCCATAATACCTTAAAAGGCAGTCAGAACATTCAGGGCTTCGCCCTGATATGAGCAGTCTTGTTCATATTTCAAACTGAGCGGCGATTCTTGGATCATGGGATGAAATAGTAACAAGTTTTTTATCGTTCATTTTCCGGACTTAAACGCGCATTTTACAACAAAAGTATCAGTGTTAAGCTATAATGATAAAAGTCGTTTCAAAATTTCTAAGAAGCCCCTAGTTTGCAATTTGTTTTGAACATCGGCGAAGTTTGGAAAATAGACCAGTTTTGTGCATTTTCTAAAAGGTGTTGCCTTATTTTTTCGGTGCGTGCTCCGCGCTTGAAGTTCGATTATTTTTTGGCGCCAAAGGTGCCCTTAGAAAAAAATATATTGATGTCAGCCGAAAGTGCATGACTTAAAATAGTACCAATGGGGTACTCTTTGGTGGCGAGGGGCTCAAACGACTTAAGAGGCAGCCGAACCCGATACATCCTAAATCCATTCCCCGGTTGAACACTAAGTCATTGCATTAAATTATTTGCATTAAAGTATTAAATTAAATTATGAATCGTTTTCAGCAATGGCTGGTCAGCATTTTACTTTCAGATATGACGACTCGAGTCTAGCCAATGATATTGCCATGCTGAAGATCTTGAATCACGTATTCCCTGAACATGCAATTTTACCACCTTGCAAGGAGTATGAGCCGGCCTACTGTTCGATTCTGGCTGTCTGTGGCACTGGTCGAAGTACCAGACGACATCATTACTTGTCGCTGGTGCTGAAGGAGTTGTATCTGTTACAAGAGATCCCCAATGGTCGTGAACGTGACTCTTGGTCGGATCTTATCTGCACTAGGAGGTGAAATCTATACTTTTTTTGTGGTAAAGCCTTTACAGGCAAAACTTACTGCTTATACCGAATTAAAATGCATCAGTGTAAATAGATGAACATATTTTTTAACATTTCTTACACGCAAAACACCGCGTGAAAATTTATTAGCAGCTTTAATGTTTAAGTTTATGAGGGACTAGGAAACTGGAAAAATTCCGTTCGTCTTGATATGAGCTTTTATGTATAATTTTTGTTGTTAAGTTTTTCTTCATCAATCTATTTCACGTAGTATGATATATTTTTTATCTAGTAACAAGTTGTTTTGGGCAATTAAGTTATTCAATTTGAGTTGTTTAACTCGACGAACACGCTTTGTATTAAAACCAGTGATCACCGCAAATGAAATAATTTTTTTTTTCATTGCCACGAATGACAATTTGCAAATTGAGGAATGAATAAAACAAAACTTGAATGAAAAATATTTATTTTTAAATCTAATTGTGATCCAAAACAGCAGTAATTTGTTAACGCCTTTAAGACGTCAACATTTTTTTGATTTAATGGACTGTTACAGATGGAAATTAAATGAAAAAGCTTCAAGCTGCAAAATTAGACATTTCTTTTGATAGTTTTTAAGATTATATGTTTTTTTGTTACTTTTATCTGTTCAATTGTTCATATTGAAATCAACTGTAGCTTTTCTCCCGATTTGAAAAAAATGATGAGATTTTGGGTTAGACTTTGCTCTTTGCTTATATAGAGAATGAATTTTGAGTTTGAAGTGCGAGCATAATCCATTCCAACATAAACAACCCCTGCCCTGCTCTGAGTCAGTTGTTTGCTTTTGGTTTTTAGCCCTTTTTGAAATGATCTATCTAACTGGTATAGAATCTATTGATTTTCAAGTAAAATTGCATGTGTGTATTCCCCTCCCCGAACAACGTTTTTTAAGAGATCGTGATGCGGCTGTTTTGGCGTGCAGAGCTTCTGGTGCCAGCTTCAAAATTCAATCTGAAGTAGTGGATTTCACTTTCTATCCCACTTCATACACTTTTTTGTAGTCACTCGGCTGTCCCGATTTTTGATTTTTTTGCCATTTGGATTGCGAAAAGCAAAGTAGGCAAAATTTTACACACGCTGTAGGGAATTCGTATTTCAAAGCCGAAATTGCTGCGCTTGCTCTGAACAAATGACATATTTTTTAGGTTCTAATACTGGGTTGAGTTTGTACGACACACAAAAAGCTCGTTGTTAGCACGTAAGCCATTGAGAATGAGCAGTTGTTCTTCATAACAGCATGCAAAGTATATACTTAGGAAAAAAAGCGAGTTGCAACTTTAATAAAAACCACCAGCATGCTACATTGTGTTTTGCTCATAAATGTCCAGAGTTGACTCAGAGGTGTCTCGAAACCTCCACGGCCTTTTGTAAAACTCGAAAGGGTTTTTTTCGGTTGAATGAGTCTGCAAAGCGACTTAACTTTGGTCATGTTTGCTACGCACTCCTTAGAAACGGTACTCGTTGCTCTCTGACAAATAGATTGGGATGTTATTGAGTGACGCCGAAATTTTCCCCAAAAAATGAGCTTTGTTCTTCACAGACAGAGGAAACGGTTAAGAGAAACTTTTGAAATTGTTTGTCAAGGTTAAGTTTTGCCGCGTTCATGCTTTTAACGTTAAGTTCAGCGTTCATCCTTTTTTACTCCTTCTAGCCTAAGAAATTTCTAAAAAAAAATAGGAAACAAAAAACTTACTTTTCAACTTCTCGTTATGAGTCAAAACTTAATGTAAATGAACCAATTTTTTCTCCATAAACCCTTTATTACATGTGAATATTCGTGTTATGCACAGTCTTTTGGAATACTAATTTCCGGCTTGTTAAGTTAAGTCGAACTTTATTCAAAAATTTTAATTGTTTCGAATTATTGCAATAATTGTTTCGAATTATGTAATAAATTAACGGACAATCATATAGTTTAAACGGGGGATCACGGGTTATTAATAACGGTTAAGTACTGGAATCTCTTTGGATTTTTTTTGTGTTCTCGTATTTTCTGAGTCACCGTAATTCTTAATTTATACGAGTTATGCGTTTTTTATTCCATCTAGAAAATTTTAATGCTCAGCAATCAATTTTTGAAATCGGCCACTGAGCATCAATATTCATTGGATGGTATAGAAAAAAATTGCTTAAAAATTGCTAAATTAAACGTGGGGAAACTGGTCTGAATAAAACAGCACACCATGTTGATATATTCCGTCAGTTTCTTCAAAAAATGGAACAACATTTGATTTAGCTTAGTCATGAGCCAAAAAGTAAAATGACAAAACCAATTTATTTTCCCATCTTTGATCTGAAACGCTTCATTTGTTAACGAAAAAAAATGGAGAATATACTTTTCTTTTTTTTTCTGTTTTTTGTGCATCAAAAGTTGAGCAAAAAAATTTCCAGTTTCATAACTTGCCTATTTACATTTGGATGTTGAGATGTCAAAATTTGGGGGTTACTCGAAGCACTAAAAAAATAAACAGAAGCACAAAGATCATAGTAATTTTTCTCACTTTGAAATTGGAAATTTCACTAAATGTTCCCTCCAACCCCTGGTGCAAAGGAGGGATTCGTTACAAATGACAGAAATTTCAGAATATTAACTGTTGAATTGTTTTTTTTCTGGATGGCACTTTTTTGCAAGATATCGTAGGCGAAGAAATAGTTGACAAAATCCTAAACTAGTTTTTGTTTTTGTGTCAGGTTGCCTGGCTACCAGCATGGACGCACTTTCGGAGGGGATAGCGGGGGTCCTCTCTACACGTTCAACGAGTCAGTTTCCGATCAGCCCAGATGTCTCTACGGAGTAGCCAGTAATAACCCTCTCTGGCGGAGTTGGTTTGATCTGGTTATTCTCGAAAGAGACATGAGCTGCTTTGCTAGTGCTGTTTACTTTCACGATTGGATATACGAGGTCATAGATGTTTTCAAAGAATGGTAGCATTTCTTAATTATTAAAGCTATGGCCTTGATTGTCTAAATGCTGTAATAAACCTAATTTTCATTTGGATCTTAAGCCTAAGCGTTTAGTTGTGGTGAGAACAGTTTCATGGGAATGCAAATTTTTTCCAAGAAACAACTGTGAATATTGAGTCAAAGAAATTTCTCAAGACTGTTTTGTTATAATGATAATTTAGTATAATTCATCATTTATCAAAGCCGAACTTGAACGGACGGAGAAGATTTTACTGCATGTTTGAAAGCACCGTGTGGGAGTTTTCCTTAATTTCATATTAGTCACCATTTTCAGTGAAACTTCTCTATTAGGAGATTTTTTTTTTGCGAAAGTTTATCTTTTAGAACCTAGTATCAAAATAACCATGTAAACTCAGAGCCGTCTATTAAGCAATTTTGAAATATTATATGTAAATAATCGTAAAACTTCGATTACTCAATGTTGAAAAGAAACTTAAAGCCTGGACATAAACTTTTCTTTTTCGAAACGTATTATAGATTACTTTTACTCTGATTCATAAGTTTTTTTTTCGTTGCTGTTACGCGTATTTTACTTGGAAAACTTGTAGTGCTTTATCTAAAGACTTTTCTATTCCAATTTTAAGAATGAAGTCATTGAGTTGTCGCAGGTATTTTCAGATTTTACATAAATTGCAAAAACTGACAAATTTTTTATTTATTTCCAACTGCTAAAATTTCTTCATTTTTTCGGATATCTTGAAAACGCAAAAATAATTACAAAATAAATTGTTTCGTAAAAACCAGCTAAACAGTCAAAAGCTACAAAAAGTGCTCAATCGATGCAATATTTTGATCGTAAAGTGTTCAAAAAATCAAAAAGCTTGAATTGTATTGTGAAGAGCAGATTGATTTCTGACTAATGCAGTTTCACAATCAATTCTATTTCGGATTTTTAAAAGACAGAGGAACAATGTCATATTCTTTCTTTAATAAAAAAAATATTGATTCATTTTTATCGCAAATAAAATTGAAGAAAAAGATCAGAAACTTCCGAAAAAGGGTTCAATATCTAAAAAAACTATAATTTTTTTAAAGTCCTCCAATTTTAAGCCAAATTTGCACAAATTATGTATTTTTCAAGTGACTGTAAGACATATTTTTTGTCTGAAAACTATTGTTCGTGTTCGAAAAAAAAATTAAATTTGCAGACTGCTCATTGTTTCAGACTGTTCCAATCTTTTGTTACGTATTGAATAGTTTCATACTTAACTAATTCTTTTCGGTAGGGTTTGTTCGGCATAATTACTATACAACTTCATACTATGATGAAAATGCTTATCATACTACTTCATACTATTTCTAGGACCAAAAAATTAGTGTGAAAATAGCATGATAAGATTTTATGTCATAGGAAAACTCAGAGTGTGACTGGCAGTTGCCTCGCAGATAAACTCCATTTGGTGATATTAGCCATTTAAGTTAATGTTAGCCTTTTCGCACAGAATTGTTTTTCAAAACATAATTTTTTTATAGCGCTAGAAAATTTTACTTTGAATAACCTGTTTTTTTTTGTTGAGAATAAAGGCCTGTTTTTTAAGAAGTTTATGTTGATCTTTGCATCTAAAAAAAATTGTGTTTTTAAAAAAAATCTTGCTAGTCATTATTGGATTTTTTGGGTGAACATGATATTTTTGCATGAACATGTTAAATTTTGCATAAAAAGGTTTTTTGATTCGTAAAAATTATATTTGAGCGCAGAAGCAAGTTTGCAACCAAAAAAAAACAGATGATAAATTTTTATCGGAAATTTGCTTTTTTTCTATGGAAAAACGCAGGTCATACAATTTTTATATATCAAATGTATGAAAAGCTTTTTTTGTTGAAAGAAAATTTTATGCTTAAATTGCTCTCACGTAATCAAAACTGCCACTAATTTGTTGTTTCAGTTTTAAAACAATTTAAGTTAACTTTCAAAAAAAAACTTTCGACTGAAAAAATGCTTGTCATACAATTTTCTTCTATGAAAGTTGTATGATAAGCATTTTTTTCCAACTTGAATTTGGCTGAAACTTTTTTTTCAAGCTTTCCCGGGTTGATTTTGCAGGGAAAACAGTACTATTCAGCACAGTGCTAGTTACTGTACAGTGCCTCTTAAAATCTGAGATGAAGTCAGAAGTTAGAGTTGCAGTACTGTAACAGTACCTTCTACAGTGGTAGCACAGTGCTGTTTTTAGACCTTTCATTCCGATCATGGTAAAAAGAATGGAAAAAAATTAAAATTTTTGTTTGCGAACTGAACAAAAAGGGACATTGCACAGACTTGAATCCCCATCCCATCACTGATCCCAACAGCAAAAGTAATCTCGTAAGAATATATGAAAATAGATACCTCATAGCTGTCTAAGCATAAACTATAAAAAAAATTGCGTAACTTTTTTCTTAGGAAATACTGATTTGCTCATAATAATCCGGTTGAGACAAACTACCGTTAAATGGCAAAAAATGAATGAAATTAAAAAATGTTATTGCAAAAGTTGTTTATTGAAACAATTACAGGAACAAAAAATTGATGCTTGGGTAACCTTACAAGTTTCGGAAGCTGTATTTGTTTCAGCAACCGAATTTTAACAATTCGAAGCTGCAATAATAATCAAAATAAGTTGTTTTCAAGCATATTTGCCTAATCTCACTTTGATACGAAGATATATATTTTTGTTTGTCAGATAACTGTTTAACTGAAAACCAAAGACGAGTGTTATTATAATCAAATGTTAGTATTCGATTGCACAGCGCAAGATGTTTTGAATTAGGCTATTTTTCATAGTTTTGGTATAATATCATGCGTATTAATCATCTTCAAAAAGAAATAATTCAGTTGACTCGTTCGAAAATTTAAAATTCGTGTAATCGAAATTGCACTTTTGATAAGCGTGCATTTATTCAAACACTCAATTAAGCAAAAGTCAAGTTTCAAATTTTCAGTAAGCACATGATTGTGAAAAAAGGTTGAAATCATTGTCCTAAATATTTTTGTTTGAATTAACACCTAACTAAAACAATTATGACAAATTATTAGACTCGCGCATTCTGATTACTAAGCATACACTTCAATCGAAACCTTGATTTTTTTTATCATAAGCAAACTGCACGGCGAACTTCGATAAAGAAGGAGCGCGCTATTCTTGTTTTATATTATTATTTCTTTTGTAAGTTGAATTAAGTATTTCAAGCTTTGGAAAGATGTCACACAACACACAAATTGGGTTAAAAAAGAAAGACAAAAGTTTGGCAATATATCGACAGTGGAGCTTAATTTTTGAACAATCGTTAACTAATTATGATCCTCGGTACAAAGCCAAAATGTGTATTCTGTTAATTGTAAGCGGACTCCGCAACAAGGACGCGCTCTTTGTTCCTCTTTTGATCTTTTGTTTTCTTTGATCTTTCAGACTAAATTTTAACCTGTTTCAAGACTTGTCTCTGCATTCCAGAGATCCACACACACAAAATTGCGCGCCTATCTAGTGCACAGTTTGGGCTCGTAATGCTTCTTAAAAATGGCCATTGTTGTTTTTTGGGCCCAAATAAATTGTCTATCTGTCTGTTTTAGGTGATTTTGATTTGCTCCATTTATAGACATAATTTGCCAATTGAGTTTTTCAGCTATTTTTTTCTCTGCTTATTATTATTTTTGTAATTTTACGGGCAGGGAGATGTAAAAAAAACTTTGAAAAACACATATTTTCAATTATAAAAATTAAAACAAATTCAATTACAAAACTGATAGATGTTCATGGCTAGAGATACATTCAAGTTTTTGAACTAACACAAACAGGCTCATGCCTAAGACATCCGGACTTTTTTCAAAAAGTAATAGGGGTTGCTAATCAGTTATAATAATTTGACATTCAAAATTTCTAATTTTTACCAACGGCAACAAAACAAGGTTATCAATTTTCAGGCAAAACAGCAAGTTTTTTCAAACTTGACTAGAGTTTACGAAGGGAGCTTGAAATTCTATACAATCTAAATAATGAGCGACAAAAAATTGTATGTAGTATCATCTAAGATGGTGGGTACTTATGCGCGGGATTATCTAATTAAATGCCGAGAGTGTTCAAAACGTTTCCAAGAATAATTACGTTTAACTCGAAAAATTGACGCGTCGTTTCGAAATTTGGTTTGCATTCTTTTTTAAATGTTTCTATTTTTAGTTTCATTAATTTTTTGTACAAAAAAGTTAGGCTATGTTTTGAACATGAAACTTACTTTTTATGCCTGCCCAGTTTGGTCTCCCAGGGCAAATAATACTATTTCAGCAAAAATATAGTACTGTAACTTTTAATCCCTGAGATAAAATCACAGATAAGAGTTGCAATACTGTTTGATTAGTACAACTTTGATTCAGAAGTAGCCCAGTGCTGTTTTTGGACCTTTTATTCTGACCTTGTTCAAAATCAATTCCGCCACCTATGATACCTCAGTAACTTTTGATACTTTCCATTTATATACTCTTAGAAGTTTTGCAATTTTGCTGAACATATCTTCAAAGTTTTTTGCTTCTACGTTGAAACATTGATGATATAATCTCACTGATCATTATCAAGCTATTTTAAAAATGTTCATGATACTGCAGCAACGCTGGGCAAGTACTGATTTGCTCTCCGTTGGTAATCTGGTTGGGAAAAGCTACATTCGAATGACAAAAAAATAGAATTGAAAAACTTTTTTTCTGCAAAAATCATTTTATAAAAATCAACTTAATAAAAAGTATGCTTCAAATAATTTTCCCAATTTTGCAAATTTGTAGAATTTTATTTTGCTTGAGGGGCCATTGGTAACAGTTTACAATTGTAAAAACAAATTTTACCATTTTGTTTAAGTTTTTTTTTCAAGCACATTATTGCCAAAAATGATGAAATGATGGGTTTTTCAGTCCACAGGTGAGCCAAATATGAGCCTCAAAATAAAAAACGTTGTTTTGAATTAGTAAAATCAATTAGTTGCCTCAAATTAATTTGGAAAGATTTTATAGTGTGCCTCGTGTGAATTATAACACCAGAGATTTTGATGGAATCGTGGCAGGTTACTATAGGAGTGTGCATACCCAGAGTTTTGTAAAGTTGTTCTGAATTTAGAAAAAAAACACCCGAGCAAATATAATTCTCATTTTTTTCGAAACTCGGAACAACAACCGATTGTTATCTGGAAATATTCCTTAATTTCAAATGGTTAGATTTCATTTCGATTGTATTTTTTTGTGTCTTTTTTTATTTCTGTTTTGTCAATAATTTGAAAAACCAAATTGTTATTCAAATCAATATGGACTGATTTTCAATAGGGGAAAATGAAAAATGCGCCAGTCTACATGTAAGTTGTACTGCAAACATTAATTGGCCTTGACAATGAATGCCTATTATACAATTTCATACTATGAAGAAAATGTTTATCATACAGTTTCTATATTTTCTTGGACTGAAAAAATTATATGTAAAGAGCAAAATAAGCACTTTTTCCTTAGCATGAAATTTTAAAATAAACTTTTTTTGCGCAACCTTCTGGAGATTTATAACAATTTTTTTTGTCATATTTATTATCACAAAAAACGTTTTAGAAATAGCAAAAACATTTTTTGTACAGTGAAACTGTATGATAAACATTTTTTCCATTGTATGAAAATCTATTAAAAGCATTTTTTCTACAAATGGAAATTTAAAAACTTTTGTTCAGAAATTTGGTGTTTGATCCGAAATACACTAACTAAGGAATTTTGTCAATAGAAAACCCTGAGTAAAACTGGCAATTACCACGCAGATAAACTGCATTTGGTGATATTAGCCAAGTAAGTTAAAGTTAACTTTTTTCCACGCAGAATGATATACCAAAAACGTAAATTTTTGTATATGGCTAGAATTTAAGCATGTGAAAACAAAAACAAATGTGTTATTAACAAACACTTGCTTGTGATTTTTGGATTTTAAGGATGAAAAACTCAACATTGATTACGTTATAGACACAAAAATTTAAAAATTTCATGCATTTTTTTTCGTAAATTTCATCTTTGACTACAAGCAAGTTTGCAGTGAAAAAAGGATAAAAAATTTTTTATTTCAAACTTGTATTTTTTCCATGGAAAAAAAGCATATTAAACGATTTTCATACAAGCATTTTTTGGTTGCCAAAGTTGCTCTCATATAACTAAAACTGCCATCAATATCTTTTGTTCGAGTGTTCAACCAATGTAGGATTTTTTCAAAAATATATTTTTTAAAATTGTAAGACAAGCATTTTTCCATAGACTCCAATGAAACTGTATGATAGACATTTTTTACGTGGACGTCAACCCCGGTATCCCTAAACATTCAATCCACAGACTTTTTACTGAAATATTTACTGTAGAAAAACTACCCCCTTTTTAAATCAAATTGAGACATCATTTTTGTCGTATGGAATTAAAACGCCACACCGAAAATGATTAAATCTTCGCTTTTTTGAACGTTTGACAACGAAAATAATTATTTATTATGATAAGTTCAATCGTGTCTCGACCTATGATATGTATTTCGGATGACTATTGTATAAATGTTTTTGTTATATTTTGTGATGTTTTCGGAAAAAAATGAATTAAGAAGTAATAAATTTTGTTTCGTATCACTCTGAGGTGAAAAATTATATTCATTTTGACGCTCGCATTGATGCTTTGAGCTTCTCAACTTGTCATTTTTATAAATCAAGTTGAAATTTCCAGATTGAGGTGAATTGTTTAAGATTTTGCAAGTAGTTGTAAGACAGTCGAAACATACCCAACTTTCGTCGAGAAAGTCAAAATATGAAAAAACTTTGAAAAAAATTGAAAAGACGGAGGACATTTGAGTCCAACAACGATTATAAGATTTTGAGAACAAAAAACGATTTTGTTCATAATTTATTTAAGATGGGTGATTTATTGCTGATTCATTTTATCCCAATTTTTTTTTGTGCAGAAAACACGATTTACTAGAAATCAACCATTTAGTTCTCTCTTCGATGTCTTTCGATCACAACTTAATAGCTTTTATCTTCTCCCGTTTTTCCATTATTCTCTCGTAGGCGTTGGGTCCAAACATCTTGTCGGGTGGCTTCAACTGTTGCTCGAACATCATGTTCATCACTGCATCTAGACACTTCTCGTACGGAACTTTCTTCTCAGGCAGGTAGTTCGGGTCACCTACAGCAGAAGATAAGTTAAGTTGATAAAATTGCATTTTTTCCTGATATTGGGTCTTTTATCCAAAATGATCAGTTTTTTTTTGGTTATTTTTTTTTTGGTTATTTATTCAAAATACGGTCTGCTAGTGTTCTGGGAGCGCTCAAAAACTCACTTTGGTCGATCAGAAAAAGGTGTTTTTTTTCGAGCTCCCGGAACACTAAAGACTAAGATTTCAACGCACAGACCAAATTTGGAAAATTTTGGAAGTTTTTAGGAGGTTTTGGAAGGGTTTAGAATAGCTTAACACACTTAAAACAGTTTTTTTTTTGGTTTATTATCTAATCATAATTAGTGTTGGTGCCAAACTCATATTACAGAAAAGTTTTAGGGTTCTTTGATCAATCGAAGTCTAAAATTGTGACAAAGGAGAGACCTTTTGCTCTCTAGGTTCGTTTTTTCTGTAAAAAATAATTTTTTTTTATGTTTTATTAGAATAATTCAGGTGTCGGTGGGGAATTTCAGGAAAAGCAGCGACTCGATTACAATGATACCTGTTTTTTATCGGCTAGCTCCCCTCCATAAACTTTAGAAATACTATACAAAAAAAAAATGAAAATTTTCTCAACGTGTTAATGGATAGCTGAGATTAACTGGTGCCTTAAATGGTCGAATCTCAGAAGGGAGGTGGGTTCGAATCCATCCCCTGGCAGCCATAAATTGTACTCACTGAGATACTTTCTGACTTCGATCCCGTTGACAATCGGATCCATCCAGGTTGATATTCTGACAGCACTTGGCTTCAGTCCGATGTTGTCAGGAACATAGATGAAGAAACACGCATCCAGAGCATCTCGAAGACTGAACTTCATGAAACACGAGTAGGGCTCGTACGGCGCATCGGCAGCAGCTAAACCATGAAGAAATTATGCCCTAGTAATCTCGGAAGGCAAATGTTGCCATTAGCAAGAAATAATCAAGGCTTGGCATTATAATACAAAATTAAATTTTGAATTTTTTGCTGTTTTTGGTATATTCACTGGTTTTTAAAGTTTTTGCAAGTCTCTAGCAGATAATCAGCGAAATCTCACAGCGGATTTTTCTGGCTTAAAGTCATCAGCATCATCATCAGCTAAAGTCACTCGAAACACAAAAAAAAATTTAACTTTTTAATTTTTAAATTTATAATTTGATTATATTTTGGGTCCATTTTTGCGTAGTAGCAAAGACATATGGGCATTTCTGCAATCCAAGGCGAACGCAAAAATAAGCATTGATTACAATACTTCGAAATCGTTTCTTAAAGCGTAACTTATCTTTAATATAAACTGTATACCCCTAGTGTACTTGGAATGCACATCTTGCAAGAATCTATTATTTACCAACAATCTTTTATATAAGGATTAATTAACAGTAAAAACTTCTGACTAATTACACAATAGTTTTTTAAAACTATAATTCTAAGCTACCTATTTCGAGAAGTTTTTCAAAAATCATGCACACACCTTTAGAAACATTGGTTTTGCATACCCCTGTGCAATTTTTTTATGTTTCCTTCGCTTTAGGGGAAACTTTACTTACGCTGGTGTGCTTGCAGGACTGCCCTCTGAATCTCCTGACTGCAAGGGTACTTGTCCAGTCTGTTCAGTGCCATCTCCAGCTGAGGGGGTCTCACCACCTCTTCCCCCCTCTTACTCTTAGTCCCAATCACCCGTCTCAGAGACTGCTCGTACTCTGCGTAGAAATATTAAGCATTTACAGCTTACATAGACTTAGAAAATCGGAAGAAGAATTTTGAATATCGGAACTAATTTGCCATTAGTCTGTTATGTAAGCGTTTCCAATTTTCCGGTTTTATTCAATAAAATTCAATTAGAGCTCCCATGGGTACCGAAAATCAACTCTAGTTTGCCAGAGTTTGCCATGCAAAAAATATCTCCGCTTTTTATACACAGTAGTTTTAGGGCAAAAAGATAGGGATGAAAGATAAGAAAGGCTAAACTACAAAGAGATTTTCATAAAATTTATTGATGATGAGAGCTCACTAAGAAGATCCGATTCATTCAATAAAAAAAGATCCATTTGAGTCTTTCAAACGTTTCAGCGCAGAAAAACATATTAGAAATAACCAGTAAAAATGCTGTTCTTGGCTTTTCTGGAACTTTTTTGAACGATAAATAGCATTTTCAACGAGTGCGCTCCCCCATCATCCAGGTTTAATTCGGTGTCCGCGGCTTTCATAGAAAATTTCTAGATTAAGTTTTATTTACCCCCCCCCCCCCACACTCCCTCTCTCTCTCTCTCTCTCTCTCTTCCCCCTTACCATTTCTCTGCTGCAGGTAGTTCATGAGTTGTTTCATGGTGGGGTTGATCTGGAAGTCAGACTCCCCGTAGAAGGTTTGTATCTTCCGCGTCAGAATGAAGTAGTGCTTGTAGAACTTGTTGAAGTTGCCAAAGGAGCTGGCCGCCTAAACAGCTTATCTTCAGACAGAATGATAAGTCTTCTTAAATATCGTGTTAAGAAATCGAAAAGCTAAATTTTTCTATTTTGTTTCGGTGAAACTTCATTTTTTGACAAAAAAACTGAAAAAAAACTAGAGTTTTAAGAAGATGTTTCCGCTAATATAAATTTAAAAAAATAAATCATTCGGATTTTTTGGAATGAGTCGACAATATATTCGATTAAGTAAAAATGATTCGATCGATAACACTACTTAGTACCCTAACACGTAAACATAATCCGATCTCTCACCTAATATACAGTCTGGTGTCAGCATAAACCATGTTAAGACTTATTTGTATCTGTTTAAATATGTGTTAGACATATCTGAGATTTGACCTTCAGAAAAAAAGAAATTTAATGAGAGATTTGATCCAAAAAGTCAAGTGATTACTTGCCTGTTTTTTCGCCCTTTCCAAATTAAGTCGCAGCAGCACTCCTCGAATCCATCTGTAGAGAAAAATAGTTTTTTGAGACGCTTCCAATATAGTAATTAAAATCATAAAAATTCAAATAGTTGGTAATTTTGTAATCAAATATATTACCCTTGAAGTTTCTTCGTTGCCTTATTTACAAGTTTCTTGTTCAATTTGTCCGATTGAAACGCCCTGGAAATTAATTCAGACATCGTTTTTTTACAATTCATTTTTTTTTTTCAAAATAGATGGAAATGAAGTGAGAAAATTACTGATGAATGAATCCCGTTGCGGCAATTTGTTTCAACCGCCCCTCGTCAATTTTACGCTGCCTCAAAATCCTGAAATCAGAGACAAAATGACATGTTTGTAATTTTTAGAACAACTTTCCGGAAAAATACTATGAAATTTATGTTAAACATTGAGTGACATAAAGTCAAAATTGTTTTAACTAGATCGCCAAAACTCAAGAGAGCTTAGAATACTGTGATTTTAGCTATATAAGCAAACTACTTAACATTTTGGCGCGTGAGGGGATGATTATTTTCCCGAGTTGAGCTCACATTAAAATTAGCGATGAAAAAAGTGGGAAAAAAACAGCGATCGCCATCGATAAAAGATCGCTGTTCATGGCCACAAAAGCAAATTTTTTTGGCTGATTAACGCTAATTTAGCGTTGGAAAAGCTATCAATTTTTTATCGATGGATTATCGATAATTTAGCACTGGAAAAATTAACAATTTTATAGCGATGAAAGCTTACAAAGTTTTTCGATAATTTGAATTAAGTTTTTGAAAAATTTATGATGATAAATGATCAACTTTCATGATAAATCTCATGATAAATTTTTTGATAATTATCTTTTTGATAATGAACATTTATACAAAGTGCTCTTCAACTGATGCCCATTCTAGGACTCAGTGGTTCTGCTCTTTAAGCTCTCGACGTGGCCTGTTCGATGAGCTGAAACTCTCTTTGGTTCATCCCCCCCCCCGGCATTGATAATTGTATTTATTTGCTTTGTAATTTAGCTGGTAAATTCAAACTTAACTTAACCGCTGCAAAAATCTGACATTCATGCCTTAATATTGTGGCACGTTTGTTGCAACAATACCATATGAAATCATTATAAAACAAACAATTTTAAACGTGAGAATTGTAAATGGGATGTTTTGCTCACTTAGCAGCCTGTTTTTGTCTCTGCTTCTCGAGCTCCTTCGTCTTCTGCTTGACCTCGTCTTCCACCTTCCGACCGAACTCCTCCGCGTCAGTCTTGATTTCACTCCTCAATTCATCCAATCTCTTCTTCAGCTCTCGGTTGGCCCTGAGGCACAAAAAGAGTAGCGGGTTTGGGGGAGGGGAGAGAGGAAGTTGTTGGGTGGCTAGGACAATTTTTAAGATGTTCTTGATCGATCTAAAGATGAGGTCGACCAAAGTACATTTTTTGGTAGTTTAGCACAACCCTTGAAAAATTCACAAAGCCTCTCTTGTTCTGAAGCGAACACTTCTTTCAAGTTGGTCTGGTTACCACGATAAATTCTAAAGTACTTCCTTATTAGGACTAGAGTAAAAACAGTAGAAAAATTTATGACGCAAAGATGATTCAAGGTAAGAAATGGGACTCTTTTCCAGTTTCCGCACACCTTTCAATTTCAATTTTTAAAAACTCCTTCATTTTCTAATGCTTATCATAATTTCTTATACTTGTAATAACTTGTAATGAATAGTGAATAGATTAGCAATTTTGATTAGAATTTTCTTCATACCTTACATCGTAACATAACCCATTTAGCTGTAATAACAAGAAAAACAACTAGAAAAAAGGGAAAATTTGAAAGGTGGGGAGTGGAAAAAGCCAGAGATGGTTATCCCAAGTGTTTCTATATATTTTCTTTCAAAATTAAAGTTCATTTCCAGTTTCCAACTTTTTCTGAAAAAAAGTATACGAAAATGTGTTAAAAATGATTTTTGATGTTCAAAACTGCAATGAAAATTTACAGTGTGAACAAGTAAAGATTTGCATTTGAACAAAATTTTTTAGGTAAATTGGTTTATTAATCATTATAAAATGTTTTGCTTAAATTTTTTTCTGTTCTTACCGAATTATTTAAATGCTGTGCTTTTTCAGCTAAAAACTCACTGTTGGCATGAAAGAGTGTGTTCTAAAATTGAAATGTGAACCGAATTTTCCAAAAACAGATAATTTTCATTGCCAAAAAAAAACATTTTTTTGTTTTACTTCAATTTCCCATTCTCCTTAGTTCTTCAAAAAATAGAAAAAACACACAAAATCTTTTTAAAGAAAATTGGGAATGGTGAGTTAATTTTCCAACCAGTTTTTTCTAGATAATCAGCAAAATTCAAGTCAAAAAGTTACAAGAGGCAGAATTTTTATTGGATGTCTTCGGATTAATTTGCACAGACCAAACCGATAGAAAGAAACTATCTGAACGATTTTCTAGTTTTTTATTGGATGTTTTTGGAGCATTTTGCACAGGCCAAACCGATAGAAAAAAAAAGCAGTCGAAAGTTTTTCTAACTTAAGAAATATAGTGCAAGTCCTTTCCGGGTTTTCAATTAAATGCCATAAACGCAATTCATAAAACACACAACGTAAGCTTCCAAAGTTATATATAGAACCTGTGGAAAAAGCTAAGCCTTCAGTAACCCTAATACGAAAATTATATAAATGCTTAATATGAATTACTTAAAATGAAAAATCTAGCCTTTCAGTAACTCTAATACGAGAATTATAAAACCATAACTTTTTATATAGTTAAGCTCTGTTTTATTTTGCAATTTTTGAAATTCAGAATTGCCTATGAAAACTTTGAAAAATATCATTGGATAAGATGTTCCATTCCTGAAGCGTTCTGAAGCGTTCACTTCTTTCAAGTTGGTCTGGTTACCACGATAAATGCTAAAGTACTTCCTTATTACGACTAGAGTAAGAACAGTAGAAAAATTTATGACGCAAAGATGATTCAAGGTAAGAAATGGGACTCTTTTCCAGTTTCCCCACACCTTTCAATTTCAATTTTTAAAAACTCCTTCATTTTCTAATGCTTATCATAATTTCTTATACTTGTAATAACTTGTAATGAATAGTGAATAGATTAGAAATTGTTATTAGATTTGTTCTTCATACCTTACATCGTAGCATAACCCATTTAGCTGTAATAGCAAGAAAAACAACTAAAAAAAGGGAATATTTGAAAGGTGGGGAGTGGAAAAAGCCAGAGATGGTTATCCCAAGTGTTTCGATCTATTTTCTTTCAAAATTAAAGTTCATTTCCAGTTTCCAACTTTTTCTGAAAAAAAGTATACGAAAATGTGTTAAAAATGATTTTTGATGTTCAAAACTGCAATGAAGTTTTACAGTGTGAACAAGTAAAGATTTGCATTTGAACAAAATTTTTTAGGTAAATTGGTTTATTATTCATTATAAAATGTTTTGCTTAACGTTTTTTCTGTTCTTACCGAATTATTTAAATGCTGTGCTTTTTCAGCTAAAAACCCACTGTTGGCATAAAAAAGTGTGTTCTAAAATTGAAATTTGAACCGAATTTTTCAAAAACAGATAATTTTTATTGCCAAAAAAAAAACATTTTTTGTTTTACTTCAATTTCCCATTCTCCTTAGTTCTTCAAAAAATAGAAAAAACACACAAAATCTTTTTAAAGAAAATTGGGAATGGTGAGTTAATTTTTCAAACAGTTTTTTCTAGATAATCAGCAAAATTCAAGTCAAAAAGTTACAAGAGGCAGAATTTTTATTGGATGTCTTCGGATTAATTTGCACAGACCAAACCGATAGAAAGAAACTAGCTGAACGATTTTCTAGTTTTTTATTGGATGTTTTTGGAGCATTTTGCACAGGCCAAACCGATAGAAAAAAAAGCAGTCGAAAGTTTTTCTAACTTAAGAAATATAGTGCAAGTCCTTTCCGGGTTTTCAATTAAATGCCATAAACGCAATTCATAAAACACACAACGTAAGCTTCCAAAAACATATAGAACCTATGGAAAAAGCTAAGCCTTCAGTAACCCTAATACGAGAATTATATAAATGCTTAATATGAATTACTTAAAATGAAAAATCTAGCCCTTCAGTAACTTTAATACGAGAATTATAAAACCGTAACTTTTTATATAGTTAAGCTCTGTTTTATTGTGCAATTTTTGAAATTCAGAACTGCCTATGAAAACTTTGAAAAATATCATTGGATAAGATGTTCCATTCCTGAAGCGTTCTGAAGCGTTCACTTCTTCCAAGTTGGTCTGGTTACCACGATAAAGGCTAAAGTACTTCCTTATTACGACTAGAGTAAAAACAGTAGAATAATTTATGACGCAAAGATGATTCAAGGTAAGAAATGGGACTCTTTTCCAGTTTCCCCACACCTTTCAATTTCAATTTTTAAAAACTCCTTCATTTTCTAATGCTTATCATAATTTCTTATACTTGTAATAACTTTTAATGAATAGTGAATAGATTAGAAATTGTGATTAGATTTGTTCTTCATACCTTACATCGTAACATAACCCATTTAGCTGTAATAACAAGAAAAACAACTAGAAAAAAAAGAAAATTTGAAAGGCGGGGAGTGGAAAAAGCCAGAGATGGTTATCCCAAGTGTTTTTATATATTTTCTTTCAAAATTAAAGTTCACTTCCAGTTTCCAATTTTTTCTGAAAAAAAGTATACCAAAATGTGTTTAAAATGGTTTTTGATGTTCAAAACTGCAATGAAATTTTACAGTGTGAACAAGTAAAGATTTGCATTTGAACAAAATTTTACAGGTAAATTGCTTTATTAGTCATTATAAAATGTTTTGCTTAAGTTTTTTTTCTGTTCTTACCGAATTATTTAAATGCTGTGCTTTTTCAATTAATAACCCACTGTTGGCATGAAAGAGTGTGTTCTAAAATTGAAATTTGAGCCGAATTTTCCAAAAACAGATAATTTTCATTGCCAAAAAAAAACATTTTTTGTTTTACTTCAATTTCCCATTCTCCTTAGTTCTTCCAAAAATAGAAAAAACTCACACAAAATCTTTTTAAAGAAAATTGGGAATGGTGAGTTAATTTTCCAACCAGTTTTTTCTAGATAACCAGCAAAATTCAAGTCAAAAAGTTACAAGAGGCAGAATTTTTATTGGATGTTTGCGGAGTAATTTGCACAGACCAAACCGATAGAAAAAAACTAGCTGAATGATTTTCTAGTTTTTTATTGGATGTTTTTGGAGTATTTTGCACAGGCCAAACCGATAGAAAAAAAAGTAGTCGAAAGATTTTCTAACTTAGGAAATATAGTGCAAGTCCTACCCGGGTTTTCAATTCATAAAATTCATAAAACACACAACGTAAGCTTCCATAAACATATAGAACCTATGGAAAAAGCTATACCTTCAGCAACCCTAATACGAGAATTATATAATTACTTAATATGAATTACTTAAAATGAAAAATCTAGCCCTTCAGTAACTTTAATACGAGAATTATAAAACCATAACTTTTTATAAAGTTAAGCTCTATTTTATTTATTTTGCAAGTTTCTGAAATTCAGAATTGCCTATGAACATTTTGAAAAATATCATTGGATAAGATGTTCTATTCCTAAATCTTTTTTAAGCAGAAAAACAAAAATGACAGACATTATGTTTTTCTTCTGGAAAAAAACTAGTCATACAAAATCTAATTGATGGCAATTGCATGATAGTATTTTATCACAATTGCAAGCGTCATTTTGCTGGCAAAATCAATTCACACACAAAACCTTCTTTCGAAAAAGTTTGATAAAAAAAATTGTGTACTTATTGTCATTAACGGAGTTTAAATCTAACATACTTATCCGAAATTTTTTAGTCTATGCTAAGATGATTGTGCGTAAACACAATGTTTTGTGGATTTTTTTAACATTACTTCCCTCCCCTCCTCCTTTCAAAAAAGGGGGAAATAGTTAAGCAGGTTAAATTAATCGAATTTTCGACCAATCAGAATTCAACAAAATTCGATTTTTTCATTGAACGCTCTAGCGCTAATTGACTTCCCTCCCCTGTTACTTTCCTCCACTGCTTTTAATTAAAGGTGGCAAGTCTTCACTAGATACCATAGGGAGGGCGATTTTTAAATAGATTTTGTTGTGTTTTCTTGCTTAGAGGTCATAAAAAAATCAGCAAAATGCAAAAAGTTTAAATAAAAGCAGCAAAAGTTACATTGCTGAAAATTGCGCCTTATGTCTTTATTTAGCATTAAAAAAACGACAACAAGACTGCGCGTATCAAGGCGAAATTCTGACGATTTCTACTGCCCTACTCGAAAAAAGTAAAACGCGTTCGACAACAGTTTTTTTGAAAATTGAATAGACAAACAAAATAAAAGAAAACTATCGCACATTTCTAAATTTTTTAAAAAAATTTTTGCCAATTTTTTAAACTATTTAATTCCCAAGAAGGCGCACAAAAATTTCAAAAACTACTTATTTTAAGCAAATTATGTTTCACAGGCGCAAAATTCAAAACCTGTTTTCCCGGCTTTGAGAATTTTTATGTTTATTTTTAACATGATTTGATTCACGACCTGAAGTGTTCTAATATGGTATATCAGTCGAAATATTCCCATGATTATCAACCATACATGATTTTCATGGAAACCGTTTTTTAAAAAGGTTAAAAAAATTGAAGGCATAGTTCATCTCTGCTTGCAATGACCGGAACAACAACTTTCTAGTCAAGAGAAATTTCATAGAGTTAGTCCATTTTATGACTAAATTTTTCTCAAAATCAATCATAAATAACGCCTAAACATCTACAAATATTGAACTATATTGCTCATTTTCCCTTTTGCCATAATGATGGTGGGAAAAGTAACAAGATCCAAAATAACCACGTTTTTGAATTTAAAAATTGATCGGTGAGGGCTCAAAAATTACCTGGCAGCTTCTTCGAGGGTCATGTCATTTGGAAGCATCGATGATCTTCTTCTATTGGTGTTAAATGCTGCAGGTATGTTACTGTTCAAATCAACAACAACTGAAGTCCTTCTTCCGGGAGAGTTACTGCCACAGCGTAAAAAAAAATAATTGCGAAACTAATATTTTACTAAATATTTTAAAATGCTCAACAAAAGTTACAGTAATTGATATTTAATTGAAAATTTATGAGCTTACTTTTTTTATAAGGAAAACAAATGAGTTGATGAAAAAGGAAAAAGTCAAAAGAAAAGCAATACTGGCTCGAAAAATGCAACATTTCTGCTCTCTTTCAATAAATACAGAAAATTAAGTTAGATTGATAGTTTCATCACTGAGAAATTAGGAAATATAGACAGAAAGTTTCGAGCCGCGGAAACGACCCAGAAAGACAAATGCGAAAATTCAAAGACAAGTTGTGGTCAAACAAAACAAAGAGTGCTTCGCTTCAAAATACAAACTACCCAAGAGCATCTTCATCCGACAGGGGAGAATCGTTCCTGGATTTGGTCGACTGCCTGAAATTCGATAAATAACTGAAGTAATTGAAAAATTGTACTCACCTAAACAGTTGGGCTCGACCAGTTAACATACCGCTCGCTTAGCAAAGCCTCAAATTTTTTCATTGGAAAAACTAATTTTTCATTGGAAAAACTAATCAATTTTCTAAACTAATTCAAGCACACTTTTTTTGATAAAAATAAAAGTATGCTAAGCGAGTGGTGTGCTAAACGACATGGTGGAAAGTCTTTTTTTCATTTTTATCAAGTGCTTCTTTTTAAAAAAAAGTAAATAATAAAAACGAAATTAATGGTATGACATTTTCTTTTGTTGTCAAATAAAAAAAGTTGATAAGCTGCTGATTATCTTTCTACTTTTCATTTGTCTTCCGTGTCATTTTATCTCACTGAAAATCTCTAACAAAATGACATTTTCTCTCCTTTTTCTATCAATTAATGTGACACACAGAGAAAGGAAGATGTACCAAATTTGTTCTTTAAAAATTGAGTTTTTTCTCTTGTCGACCTATGTACTACCGTATTGACTTATGTATATTATATACTATAATATCGATTTATGTATGGTCTACTTCTATAACTTGGTAAGAAAAGCGGATCTTGCTCGCAATAGTCGATCACCTCAACCGAGGTACCCCAGAAACGCTCCCTAGATATTAACTATAACATACTCTCAATATCCTGCCCGCATCCCAAATTGGGCGTAAGTAATCGATTATAACGTATTATAATGATGATTTTTTGACAATTGTAACTGATTATAATGACCAAAGTTAGGTCTATTGAAGAATTTATAATCGATTAAAATCGTGATATTTTCCAAGAGTTTTTAATCTCTTATAATCCATTATAATTGTTGATGGGACTAATTTGAAATTAGTATAAATATACCTTTGCTGGGGTAAGTCGTTGAATAGGTTGGATGGTCTTCTGTAATATTCGTACTTTTTCGGTTTGGAAGGGGGCCAAATTTGTTCATCCTGCTTCTCTGCCCTGACAAGACGGTATTTCTTCAGAGGGCTATCTTCAGGCAAAGGACTGGAATCTGAAAGTAATAATTTGGTATCTCAAAAATATAAGGCCGGAAAAGACTGGCACCTGAAATATAAAATCATAAAAATTAGAGTCTTTTCAGGTAGTTGCTAGAACCCTATCATTATGATTACATGAAAAATAAATGTTGTCTACAGCTCAATTAACAACTGAAAAAGCATTTTTTCTGGATACGTTTTTGTGCGATCCTTGAAAAAAAAACTTCAAAATTACAGCTTTCAGTTTGAACTACTCCCGGGTTGACCAAAAATAAATATATGGAAAAAACCTTGTCCTATATTTTTCATATATGGAAAAATGCATATCATACAATTTCCAACAACTCCAAACGTACAAATTGTAAAAAAAACTCTACGATAAGCATTTTTTCATGAAAGATTCGCAAATTAAAAGATATATTATTTTTAGTTGGCTAAATATTTTTGAGTTTCGTTCGAAATCACAATAACCAGGGATTTTTAAAACAAGAAACCCCCTGGATTGAAAAGAATAAAGCTCACAGATTCTCGGCTCTTGAATAATTTACAGTGAGTTTTTATTTCACAGATCACTCAAAACTATGAACAAAAGCCTTTTGTGTACAAAAACTTTTGTGTATGGTCAGAAAATTGTAGGCCAAAAATTATACTAGTCAAAAATCAAGGCTTGATTTTTTGACATATGGAACCGTATATTATAATATAAAAATGTTAAGAATTTTAAATTTGTATTACCACAAAAACTTCCACGCAATTTCGTTTCTTTGGAACGTTCTAGACAAAGATAAAAAATGTTTGCATGCGTTTTTTCTCAAAAAATGCTTATTTGAGCATGAAAGTGATATGGCAACTGAAAATTGAGAAAATAAATTCCTTGAATTTGTTCTTTTTACTTCCAGAGTCTACACATCAGAACTGTGAAAAATGCTTATCATACAAATTTCATTTATGGAATGTGTATGGTGAACATTTTTTCCATTCCCTCCATGTATAAAAAAGTACAATAAGCATTTTTCTTTTATGGAATTGTATCATAAGCATTTGTGTCTGGAGGTCAACCCGGGCTTCCACAATCAAATTGTTTGGTATGTGCATGACCAGAGTTTTCTTGAAGAAAAAACTTAAGTTTCTTTAGTAAGAAAATTTTTTTAACCGGTTACTGTTCAAGTAGCAATGAATGTTCCCACCATAGTCTTACTTAAGTGTAGTTTCAAACTAGTTTTTCAAATAATGTAGTTTTTTGACGTGTTGCGATGAAAAGAACCGATTAAAAAAACTGGAATTTTATGGAAAATGATTAAAAAAACGAAAAAAGGAAAAAAATCAAAAAAGGTTTCAATTTTTTGTAGTTTTTTGAATTTTGAAGATTTTGATTCCAAAAAGGCGCTAAAAATCACTCAAAAAAACTCTCAAGTAAAACTAAACTTTTACGTTTCAAATTAATTTATTGTAAGCTTTTAAGCCATTAAAATATGCGATTATAAGCGTGCTCGCTCGCTTTATTTGCTCAATCTAAAACAAAAATGAAAAAAAAAATTTCAAACCGGTTTTTCTCGACACTGGGAAAAATTTTCAAAAGGTTTTAATGTCTTACGAATAAAGAGTGTAAGGGCTTTAATATGATAAATCAGACAACTCTCCTCGATGACTAGTTGTGGTAGCTGATTTTGCCTGGAAAACAAAAAGTATAAATAAAAAGAAAACAAAATAAAACACACCCGAATGCAAAAGTCCTCCCCATTTTTCAAATGATCGGAACAAAAATTCCTTTTTTAAATTTAGTTCCATAGCAAAAAAGTAAGTACTCAAATGAACATAAAGTTGTAGACAAAAAGTTCATGACAACTCACAATTTTTGTTTATATTAGACAATCTATATTCTGCCCGATTCGTATCTGCTAAAATATCATTCGACCGAATGGGTACTCCTGCAACACTATAATTCCGAGTGGACAATGACGTCATAACAGGTGCTCCGACTGAGTCAAAATTGGGTTTGAATGTCGAGAGAGAAGCGAAAGTTCTACTTCGTCTTCTTCGAAACTCGCCTTTGTCTCTCAGATTTTTTGCGTGGTCGTTATTGCTCCATGATTTTTCGCGTTCATGTTCAAGTTTTGTTTCTTGGAAGGTTAAAGTCTAAATACAATAATTTAAATAACAGGTAATTCTTAAAATAGTTTTTTACGTGCTCACTGAATGAATTAGAGCGTGGCATTAGAGAAACAGCACATAGCAGAAAAAATTTAACAATATAAACAGGGGCAGATCTAGGATTTTCTCGAGGGGGTAGCGGATTTTCAAAAATTTTCGAATATTTGGACTAGCTTTTTTTAGGTCGACCAAATTGATTTTCCGAGCTCTCCTAAAGCACAAAAAAGACGCTGTTTTGGCCAAATTTTTTTCGTCTCAGGCAAAATTAAAAAAAAAACAGGTCAAAAAATATGTTTTCGAGCACTTTTTCGGAATACTTTGACAAAAAATTTGCGTTTTTTTGGCGCGCGCTCCACCTCAAATTTAGTATACATTGGCGCCAAAGGCGCCTTCAGAAAAATTTTAGGGTCGGTCGGCCAAAAATGAATTTTTTAAAAAGTACCAAAGGGGTATTTTTTTTTAGTGCGACCAAATTAATTTTTTGAAAAAGCGGTCCAAAAAAGGCGTTTCAGGCATTTTTGTAAAGTTTTGACTAAAAAAAATGCGTATTTTTTGCCCCCTAAATCCGTTGCTGAACACACTAATAGGCTTATTGTCTCCCTAGTTTTCCTTCCTCGGAAAATACCTGGGTGTTTTTGAAACTATCTGGGTGTTTTTTTTGCTTCTTTAGAAAATACCTGGGTTTTTTTGATTGCATTGATTCGGTTATTCATCTGTGCTTCGTCTATAGAAAGCGTAGTGTTCTGTTCACTTAACAGAAGTCTTTTCATGTCGATTGGCAATGTTTGAGAATGATCTTCTGACTGTGCAATGCTCGTGTTCAGCTGTACTTCAGTCGTCATTTCCTTGTCTAAATTTTATTCAGTTGATTTTCGCTTTTTCACTTCGAAGTATCAAGTTTCCAATATAAGCTATCCAAAACTTAGAATTGTAATGAAAAAGAACCCAGCTTTTCATATCTATAGTTTTAACACACTACAATAGATCCATAAGGAGTAAAAAAACCAAGAGAATATTACGAACTCGAAAAAAAAGCAACAAAAAAGTTCAAGTGTTTATACATGAAATTTTGGTGTTTACGCTCTCGTTTCGAAAATGTTACCTGTTAGATTTCGATTTTGCTCCAACGATTTCTTCAGTTCTTGGTTTGTTCTCGATGTGTAGAATTGTTTTGGAGCCGGGATTGTCATCGTGCTCACATTTGAGTCCTCAGAGGCTAGTTGCATCTTTGGATCTCCATAGATCCTGGACCCATCCCAGAACCTGCAAGGAGAACTTATTGCGCAAAACGACTCAGTGACACTTGGCTACAATTATAAGTCTCGAAGGAACAACTAGTTTTTCAAACTAGAAGTTCAAAAAAAGAAGTTAATTGAATAAATCAATTAACCAGGCATCAAATAAATGCTTGACTTTACAAATAAGTTAATTTACATAGTATATACTTCATCGGCAACATATTCTCTTTTTACTGGTATAACTCAATGATGTTTTGTGAATAAAAAACAAATTCGGCCTCTTTAAGGTCGTTAAACATTATAGAACGTAGTTGAGTTGTTTTCTACAGCACATTAATTATTAATTCCGGATTAATGGCATTTTCGTTTAAGGCAACAAAACTGAAAGCAATTAACCAAATCAAAACTGCCCAGCTAACTTCACTCGTTTTGACAAAATAATCGAGTCGAAAAAAATCCATTAGTTGTATGAAAGTTGCTATTTTAGAATAATTAATTTGCTCAAGGCTACAGATATTGTCACATATTTTACTTGACCTACAAAAGCTGTAGTTGACGCTATATTTTACTTGACGCTATAAAACAAGTAGCAAAAAGTAGGAACAGACAGAGTTAATAAAAATGAGCAAATCATTTATTGCAGTAACTGTTGCATGAAGTCGCTAATTTTTCAAACAAAAATTATGTCAAATTTTCACCTGAAATTTAAATTGCCTGAAACACATCGGCCGTTTTATTTTGTCTGATCCAGCTTTATGCATCTCTTTAATAGACTCACGTGGGTGTTTTGAATGACCCCTTGACAAGTCCCCGTCTCTTCAATTCCTCAACATACCCCACCACACCCTTTGTGTCCACCGTCAACCCCACTTCAACCCTCCCCCTCCCCCCTAGAGTGCCCCTTGTCATCCCTCCCCCCTCGTCGGTGGTAATGCTCAGTGGAATCAACAGGGATCCTTTGGGATCTGTGTTCTGGATCTCGTCCAGATATTTATCCAGTAGAGTTTGTTCCAGTTTAGACTGCGGTTTCTGCATCTAATAAAACTTTGAAACTCAGTATATATAAAAAAAAAATTCTGGAAAAGTTTTCCACTCGTTTGTATCTGACCTGATTTTGGTCCTGTCTGTACTTGCTCTTAGAACTAGACGGTCTCTGACACTCCACTATCTGGGTGCCCGCAACATACTCTGGAACTGAGTCGCCTTTTTGCGCCCTACCTGGACTATTGTTAGCATTGGCCCCCGGTATAAAGTGCTCCTGCGCCTTGTGATGGTGTTCGCTCATAAGTGTTTTGTTGTTATTTTCATCACGACTGGGAAATTCGTTTCTGAAAATCAAATATAACGTTAGCAAGAAATGCCTAAAGATAGTCGGTTGCTGTGCAATTAGCAAATAATGTTCCGATCCTCCTGGGTTGTGTGTGCTATATCCCTTAACCTAAATAACATCATGGCCTTGGCCTCTATTTATTATAGTTTTAGTATCAAAGTTATTGCTGAGTAATAACTGCCTGCCCACCCTAATTATTAGTGCTAACCACCTATTTAACACTCTCTATGGGTTGTTGAGAGAACGCGGTCGACTTTTGAAGCTAATTGTTCCAACTTTCGATACGAAAGTAACGGAATATTTGGGCTCGGGGTTGGTTTTTTTGTTCCAACTTTCGATACGAAAGTAACGGAATATTTGTGCCCGGGGTGGGTTTTTTTTCTTCAGACATAATTCGACTTTTTACTAGCCATTTTTGACTGAAATTTTTTTATATCATTCAAAAAGTATTGTTGTCTTGAGCTTAAATTTGAAAATAAATTTCACCTGTGATCATTTTTCCTAAAGTTATGGGGGCTTAAAGATTGCCATTTTGGCAAATTTGGAAAACTAACGCGCGTTATATTTCGCGCTATTACCGCGTAAGCGCGAATTTAATCCGTCTTAGAAATTGTTCCAAATTGGTTGAAAGAAGCTTATTTGCCATAATTGATGTGTTACTGGAAGCGAAATTTATCACTTTGTACTTTATATGGCGTGTGGGGGGAAAATATCTCGAATTTTTTTCCAAATTTTTTCCATTTTATTTTCTTTTTTCTCTACATTTAATTTTTTCATGTTATTACTGCATCTTGGACATTAAAATGCAGTCGGAACATTCAAAGCTTCGCCCTGATACGAGCAGTCTGTTTAAGTTAGGCGATCCATTCGGTATTACAATTGTCGCATAATGCTTTAAAATTTTTGTTTGAATGTGGCTGTTAGTTTTTATTAATATGCGAATCATATTTCATAACTACCTATTTATAATCGGAAATGTAAGCCCTGACTGTTCTCATTCAGACCACTTTCATATCAACTAGAATAAAGTTGTTCTCCAACTAAAAACCCTTTCACATAGTATTTGGCTGGGATCTATTGAGACCAGAAAATAAAACTAAGACTAGGATATTGGTATTTAACTAAGGAGTTGCACAAATCTTCCCGTCCAAAAATATGATAGGCAAACAGACGCTCTATCTAAACTGAAATTATTCCACTCTCTATAATCTAATGTTTTAATCAAAAGAAACGGGTCCTCCAACAATCAACACAATTGCCTAGTTGCAAGTTTATCTTCCAAGTAACTCAAATAAAAGATGCTATCTGTCTCTCTCTCTCTCTCTCTCTCTCTCTCTCTCTCTCTAGAAAATCCTAACCAACCAATTACACACAGTAACTCTACACAACTGCTCAATTCGACCTGCTAAATTTAATAGTGTCTCTTCGGAAAACTATTTTTTTGAGGTAATTTAACTGATTTCTCTAACATCACAAATCACTGTTTTCAACTTGTATGAGAACCAACTATTCTCTTCAATAGCTATTTCGTTCCCTAACTAACTGAGAACCAACCGGCCTCTCACACATTTTCTCTAACTAACAACGAGAACCCAACTACTCTCACTAGTAGCTCAATTTGTTCTACCTGAGGATGGGCAATTTTTTAAATCTCCATAAAATTTTTATGTATAGTTAGTGTTATAATTGTCCCTACAAGTCCTCATATTTATTTTGGTCCCACTTTCGCAATGTCTTAACCGAATCCTTCGTCGGTCGACACTGTATTCCAAGTTCATTTAAAATAACTCTTAGTAAGTTGTTCAAATACTAAATCAATTTTCACCTCTAAACCAAGCTACGTTAAATTAATCAACCTATCAAGATTTTTTTATTTATCTTTTTAACGTTCCGACCTCCCGGTGTTGGCGAAAAAACCTTTTTATGAGTGGCTAAATCATTTCGATTGTCTAAAATTCTGGTCAATAATCCATTCAAATCCCGACTTTTTAGCTATTAGGAGAATTTAATTTGCCTATTAGGGGTCAATTTTTGCCAAAAAGTCACCTACGTGGAGCTCGGTTATTATCCCGTCCACTCATGTTATTTATAAGACCTGCTTCCCCTGCCATTTTCCTGTTGTTGCCAATTTTCTTTACTACTTTTCTGTAGTCTAACTGAGTTTCAATCTATAGCTCATTCGTCAAGCTAAGCTGAACCCAATGGTTGTCAAGTCCACTTTATTTAGTTCCACCACTTCAATGTTGAAGTGTAACAATTATATACTTTTCAGCTTCTGCTTCAGTTCCCAGTAGATAAGTTCCCTCCCAATTAGTATAAGTTGGGTGTTCGATTCCCACTTCTAAAGGGCTAGAACCGGCACAAATGCGCCACTTTTGCGGTATGAATTACAAGGTTTTTAAATACAATGTTGGTCCTAAATGCGCAAAGGTCATTTAAAGGTCACCCCAGAGGCACCCGTAGTCAATCATCCTTATTCGGGTTTAGAATCTCAAAAACATCTTACCTACTAACTTTCATCCAAATCTCATTAACACTTCCCAAGTTATCCTATTTCTAAGGTCCAGTATCACTCTTCACGGGAAAAGGCTATTAACACCGGAAAGAGTCAGCAGAGGGGTTTTACTTACAACTAGACCTTTTTCGGGGCTAGTGTCTAGCATCTATTGCTGCTATGAAATCAATATGCCCTCTCTAATTGTTTTGCGTAATTTCCAAATTTCCAATCTAAGGGAAGTTTTACCAAGTGCATGTAACTTCCGGTCCAACATCCTTGTTTGGCTCAATTTATATTACATGATGTCTGTTATCCTTGCCTATCATATCCCAACATTTTGGCTCTCTGCGTTTATTGGGCACCGATAAAAGTCTTCCGGAAGTCGGGGTGGGACTATTTGCTTAGGGTGGGAAGTAGAGGTTCAGGGCGTCTGGGGTTCCAAATTTAAATTCCCTCAGTTAGGTCTGAAATATACTAAACTTTGGTCCTATTCCCTTTGCTAGTTACCCAATTGAATAGAACTATTTGAACTTCCAGGAACCGTTATCCTTTGCCAAGAGGGTTTCCGAGGGGTTCGGGATTTTTGCATGCCCGGGTCAAATCGTCTCTAGTATCCGTCCTATGAGTTTCATTAAGTAAGCTTCCTTAGTATCCATTTGGTGGGTTTGCCATATCGGTACCGTCTCATGAATTTCGCCAGAGGAGGGACTAATTTTCAAGATTCGATTTATGTCGAAATTGGTCATTTGTTTGCTTTTCTTAGTATCGTATTTTTAAATGAATATCAAGTTACGTACTACTCAATAACCTTCACTCTACTGCATGCTTTTCTCGAGGTAAAACTCTCAATCGAAATCTGAGTTTGGCGAAAAAGTGTTTGGATCACCGATCCTGCACATATAACTATATCGTATATGTACTATAAATAACCACAAACAGTTTTTTTCGGGCTCTTTCTCTCTCTCTCTCTCTCTCTCTTCAAATTATGGATCTGTTTTCGCCAAAAGGCCAAAAGAATCTTTTTATATTATCTTGTTTTTAACAAAAAAGAGAAAAATAACTATAGTTTTATAATATACTTTACTTTTTAAAGATTCTGTGTCATCCAAAGCAATTAATAGACTGCAACATGCATATTTAATTCAAAAATTTTAGCGGTAGTAATTTTACAAATAAAATGAGCGTTCGGAACAATCTGTATGACTTGCATAGCGACCGGGTATTCTGAATCTTTGATTTTTCTCAACAGAAATAGGGAATTTACTGAGATATGTAGCTTTTAATGTTTTTGAGCTTATTTGTTCGTGAACAAACTTTTGACTTTGCTTCTTACTTGTGTTTGTCTGGCTTCGCTGGTGTTGCGGTGTTGGTCTTGACTTGTAGAATTCCCACCAGCTTAGAAGCTGAAGTGTCTGTAACCACCGCCACATCTCCATCCAGTTTAAACCCATCCAGTACTATATCATCATAATCGTAATCATCTTCTCCTTCTTTTTCTTTGTTTTCATTCTTTCGATTTGGTGACCTTGAACCAGGAGCTCCGCATTATTAATTGCTCTTATAAGGATTCGTATTTTAAAAAAGCTCCAAAAATTGCAGGAAAATTGTACCTTTTATGGAACGCAGATATCACTCTATGCAAAAAATTGCCTATTTATAAATTCATCGAGCAAAAAAAAACAAAAACCAAAACTAAGGAAAATGAACAAGTATAAAAATGAAATGAAAACAAAAAACTGTATGAAATTGTTGCAATAAAAATAACTTTGCAGAGCTCCTTTCTTGACCTTGTCCAAATGTCAGTGCTTGACCTCCATTTAGGCTGATTTGTAGGTTGTGAAATTGAGGTCAACACTTTAATCCGACTCATATGGCTAAAAATTTGCTAAAATTTGCTTTGTTAATAAAGCTGAGCAATCAAAAATTTATGAGCATCGTTTCAAAGAAGGGAGATTTAGGAACAATATTTCCATCAAGAGTGGAATACATTAAAGCTCTGTGAACCAAATTGGTCGAGTTTCACCAATGTAAAATTTAAAACCAAGCAAAATTTATGAGCCAAACAATTATTATAGAAACGTCCATCTGCAAATTTAAAAGCCAAAATTTTGAAAAAAAAACTTACCAAAACATATCAAAAACTTGTTTTTGTTCCAGTTGTGTTGCAAACACTGCTGATGTATTTGACCAGATTAAGTCCTGAAATCAATAATGCGCAAGTCTCTAGCTAGAATAGATAAATTTCATGACAGATTCAGGACTGTCATAAAAACATAATTTGCCGGAAAAAACTAATATCCAAACTGAAAACTCAGCGGAAATATCCAAAGACACAGTTAATTGAATTTTTGATATATGCAAAAACATCACAAGAGATATATTTCTTTTTCAAGTTACAAAGAGCATCTGGATAAATAAACGCAATTTCAGGTACATAAATTAAACAAAGAGTTTTTTATACATTTTCAGAAGACATTTTAACTTAACGAACATGGAATGAATCGAAAATTGGAAGTTTATTAATATTTAATCAGACGAAAATAAATTCAACGCTGAAGCGAAAGCAGTTTTTTTGCGTGCTAAGATGAAGTTTGAAGAACCATCTGCTTTTGATGGATGAGAAAGATCAGCAAAAAAGCTTAAAAGCCAAGAAACATGGCTGTACGTTTAGAAGCACGGCTCAAACTTATATATTTCAAAATAAACTTAACATGAAATCAGAATTCCTGTATCAGGGCGAGGTCTGGAATCTGTCAGCAGTATTTTCAGTTGTTTGAACATTTTTTGATTTTCGATAAACTCAAAAAAAAAAATTTTCGCCCTCGTGTTAGATAAGAAATACAAACTGACATTTTTTTCTTCTACTTACACAATTTTTGTATTAATCATTGTCCCTCATTTCAATCTAAAAATCTGAGCCAAAACTAATTTGCCCCATTTGCTACACATTGATGCAGTGCTGATTAAACTTAATTGGACAAGTCGAAGAAAACTGGAAACTTTAAACGTTTTTTCTCAAAATGATTTACAAATTGATAAAAAGTGATGAGAACAGAAGTTCTTTTGCGTAAAGTTGAATCCAAAATTGTTCTAAAAGTAATCATCTTTGGCTCTTTTTATTTGTATCAAAAATTACGACAGAAGTAACATTCAATTCTTAAGCTAATTACATGAAAAGTGCTTGTAACAAAGTTCAAATACCATTAGGAAGGCCAGAACCTCAAAAACTTTACAAAACATTAGAAAACTGGTAATAAATTGAATTTTGATTTTTTTATGTAGTAAAAAAGACCTTTGTTGATTTCCACACAAAGACATATACCTGTAAAATGATCTTTGAGAAATAATATTTTTCAAATGTCCGTAGGGCTACATGAGAAACAAACACACTTTGATGTAATTGGCTTATGAATTGACTACCTAGTCTTATCGTATTTTTCGATTGACCAAAAAGCCAAAGTTGATCATATTTATGGTAAAACATTGAGTCTGAAATGATTTGTTCGATGTTTATTTTTTTGAATATCTGAATAATTTACCTAGAGTTTTACTTCAAGCTGTCAACAACCAACGTTAAACTTTTCCCGTTTTGCCAGTTTTTCTTAAGTCGGGTTAATTCAAATCAGCACTGTAGAAAATTTTATATTGTTGCCGCAAACTGACAATGTGCGAATCCCCATAACTCTTTGAAAATGATCACGGGTGAAGAATTTTTTGAAATTAAAATCAAGACCTTGATAAATTTCAAATGGCATTAAATCAAAAATACTGTCGATGTTCTGTCAAAATACTGCTAATTTGTCAAAAATTGTCTGAAAAAATAACAACACACTGAGCCTAAATAATTTTAAGAGAAATAGAAGTCGCTGTTTTAGTTCTGTGGACGTTTCATGAAATACGCAAATAATTAACCTCAAAAAAGATCAGAGCGTATAAAACTGCAATTTGAAATACTTGTATACGCTAGCGCTGCAAAATTCATCACAAACTTTTCTTGGAATGAAAATTGAATGTATCATCAAAATTTTATTCTACAAAAGCAAAAAAGTCAGTTTGCGAAGCAAGGGCAAAAAAATCTATCGTTTTGACCAATGAATGCCTAATACTCTTTGCTTAAACGAAAAATACTTGTAATGATTGAGATCAACCGAAAATTTTTTTCTTGTTCAAACGCTCTGTAACAATTTTGTAGTTAAAAGTTATCTATTTTGTATTTGAGTTTTTTTTGCTCATTTTGAACCTTTTTTTCACTGTTTTAGGAATTTGGAGCTGTTTCATTTAAAGGTTCGGAATGACGTATTTGAATGACGAACTGTATATTTGCGTCCTTTCGCTCTCCTAAATTTTGTTCCGATTTTCAAAAACATTGAGGAATGTATGTGCTCGGGGTGATTTTTTTATATTCAGATCATTTTTACAAAACTTTGGTCAATCGAGGGATCTGTAGGGGTCTAGCCAGGTGTGCACACCACTATAGTAACCTGCCAGTCGTCTGTTCAAATTGCTTGTTTTATTATTACACGTGTGATGAAATATCCCGCACTACAAAATCGTTCCAAATTAAGTTGAGACTGCTAATTTATTTTTATGCTTCCATGCACGACTCAAATTGGGAACAGATTTTTATGCAGACCAAACTTTTAGTATAAATATTAAAAATCAAGTCTTTCAGCAGACCAACGTAATAAACTGATGCATGATTGATTGACAGACTCTAAAAGAAGTTCAGTCTTGGATCAAGCTTCCCCAAATAAGAAAATCATTTTGCGGTTCGTCTACAAAATTATCGACTCCAAAGAAAAAGTCTAAATTAGCGGCAAAACAAACTATTACGCGCGCAATAACACTCGTGGCGAATGGAAGAGCAGCTGAAAAAGTGGTCGCTAATCGCCAATGCCACGTTTGAAGTTAGTTTTCTGACTTACTAATTGTTCTGAGTCTGCTAAAAGATTAGTCTGCTGAAAAGCCAAATAGTCTGCTAAGAACTCCTGGCACCGCTCAAATTGTGACACTTAAACTTTAATGTGATCGGCCCAAAATTCATAGTTTTGCCACTTTTTAAATTACCAAAAACCATTTGGTAACAGTTAAATGGCAGTCGCACCATTCAGGGCTTTGCCCTGATACGAGCAGTCATGTTCAATATAGATTTGCTTCTTTCAAATAATGTTTTTCCTTTAGCACTTGATTTAGGATATACATAATAAATTAACTCTTTTCATGACATTGTTTCCTGCATCGAAAAGGCGTTATTTTATCTTAAATTGACATGTCTGTGTTTGGTACAAATGATAGGCGTCATAACTGATATTGACCTTGAAAAAAAATAATCAATTAAAGTTAGTCTCCATTTTATCTTCGTTGCTTTTGCTGCTGTCTTTATCCAGATTGGCACTACAATTCATTGAGATCAATCCGTCGCCAGAAGAATAAAATACGCCACTATTTGCCAGTCCTTGAGACACCAAAAATAGCAACATCCAGATTGATGTCAACAAAAGTAAACAAGCATAACATAAACAAGTGTTATAGTAGCCAACCCACTCATTTACATAACCCCCGAATAGAGTAGCGCCAAAAGAACGACTAAATGCGGTAAATAGCCCGAAAGACGACGTTGACATGGTTCGGATTTCGGCAATGTTTTTATAACCCAGCGAAAGTGCAAGTTTTTCCATAATCAGGTACTGCGGATTGTAAACTGAAGACTGCAGAGTTCCATACACAAACAGAATAGTAAGAATATAGTAAATATTCTCAAAATACGGAACAATTTGAGGAATATAGAAGCAAAAAAGAATAAAGCAGGTCAAAAATTGGGCACAAATCTCGATTAGGCAGCCATAGCCTAGCTTGGTTAGTAAGCCATAAGCTGGAGCTGCTATAAAGAACCCAATGGCAAACGGAAGAAACATATAACCCGATAATTCATCAGAAATGTTCAAATAATCTTTATAATAAACCGAAAATGCGCTGTTTTTAAAGCCAGATGTTGAAACCAAAATGGTATTTGGAATCAGAAACATCAAAACACGAGGTGTAAATATAAACTTGAAAATTTTTCCGGGTTGTATTTTTGACTTAGTGAAACTAAAATCTACGTGTTCAGGAATGATTAAAAAAGAAAAGATTAGAGTTGATGCTCCAAATAGACCCGTAGATATAAAAATCCATTGATAACCGCCCACTGAGTAGATTAAGCTTCCCAATAGAGGCCCCAAAAGTACGCCTAGTCCATTGGAGCAGTGAATGAGTGCTGTAATCATGGCCGATTTGCCAGGAAATAATCCAGTGGCAAGCGGGAGTCCAGAATTATGGACCAACGCAGAGCCAACTCCATTCGCACACCTGAAAACATGATTAAAATAAGATATGGTTGACAGCTGAAACGAAAAGATTCAATCGAAGTTTTTATATATATTGGCTGAAAAAAGTCTGAAACATGACAAGTAATAAAAATAAAAAATATAAAAACAATTCTATATTAGCGCTGAAGATCCGACCAGCCACGGATCTGGGATTTTCTGAGGAGTCGTGCTTTTAGGCTTGATGGGTTCAAAACAATTCGTGTATCTATCTACCAAATACATTTTTATTAGTTGTGTCTAGTCCCAAACACCTATTTGGGCACTGTTTGGAAAGTTTTGGAAAATTTTTTGGAGCGTTTTTCGGAGTGTTTTCATTTAACTTTCATTTAACTTTCAGGTAAATTTCAGGGGGGAAGGGTGGGCAGTTGAAAAACGCTCCGAAACTGTAATATTTTACATGTTCAGCGATCTTAATTTTTTCTGATAACTTATTACTGAACTTATACTGAAGGACTTATAACTATACTGAACTTATAACTGATACTTATTACTGAAGGATAGCTGAACCTGTAAAATATTACCCTGAAATAGTGCCGTAAAAATCGTAGAAAAAGAGGTTTGGGATGCTATGGGCGATCAGGGGGTCCGCTACTGGTTTCGACCACCTTTAAGTTCGTGAACCAAATTTTTTAAAAACAACTTACAGCCGCAGTCTTTCGAGTATGACAGATATGTAATGTCAGTTTGGATAATTTTATTAACGATTTAAAGAAAAAAAGAATTTAAATAAAAAATTTGAAGAACCAAAACTAATTCGCAGAAAATATTGAAAATTACAAACTTGCCTGGTTGCCATGCAGAGGAGAAAGAAGGGGGATCCGTTTTTTGAATTCTCCGACCAACCAAACAGCGCCACTGAGACTGAACTCCAGAGAATGCCACAGAGGAAGAAGGATCTCAAGTTGCGAGGAGAAATGACCATAGCAACTAAGAGAGAGGAAGCCAGTCCAGTTATCTCAATTGCAGCCGTGACCCAGCCTATCTGTGCCTGGGATAACCCTAAGACGAACGTTAAATTTTCTTTCTACCGCTTTATGACACTAAGGTCTGTGAAAAACATTTCATTGGATTTGAAGTTCGACACAGAACAAAAAGATTCAAGATTTCATTGATTTTAGTACTGATAATTTATAATTAAGGATTAATAATGAGGATTTAATATTGAGAAAAAATTGAGGATTTTATTGATTTAAAAATTGCCAGAGAAAAAAAAAGATTGTTTAGTTGTATAGTTTGAGTTTTTGCATTGTCGTTATGATATCAAAAACTAAATCAAGCTTTATTTCATATTTTCTTAGTTTTCAATTGCTACCGAGAGCGTCCTTAAAATCAAAGATGACTGCTCGTATCAGGACGAAACCCTGAATATTTCGACTGCCCCGCAAAATTTTCAAATATATTCAGATAACATCAATTCAAAAAATTAATATAATTTTCTGAAAACAAAAAAAATTTTCATGATTTTTTTTTTGAAAAAATCCTCCCGCATAACTATGCCAAGTACATGTTTTTAGCGTCTAGTAACGAGTTAGTCATACCAAAATCATGCCTCAATTCAATTTGGAACAAATTATGAGAGGATTAAATAGCTGCTTACGCGAATTGATATATCACGCGATAAGTGTCCCACATTGGTCAATTTAGCTGTCTTCAAACCCCCAAAATTTCACAAAAAATGGTAACATGTGAAATATTTTTTGAGACTGAGAACTTGACAGCAATTGGAACCTGATCTAAACTATATTTTATGATTGGATAAATTAGATATTTTACCACTGTAAAGTATTTATTATTAACCAATCATGATCCATCTAACTAACAACCCACTTATTTGTAAGTGCTGAAATTACTTGTAATTTCAGCAACAGAGAGATTTGAATTTAACTTAGAAATTAGTTGTCTCTCCGAGAGAACTTCAGCAGCCGCAACAAACCAGTATACCCTAGATCTATTGAACCTAGCAGAGACTAGTTAAACACCCTGAGACTAGTAAGTATAAGAGTAAGATTAGGATCGGTATTAGACTAAGAAGTTGCACGAATCTATCCGGCCGAAAATAAGATAGCGTGACGAGCAGACGGTGTACCCTATCCGAAATTACTCTATGAGTTAACCACATCGGTCCTAACTCATCTGGTGCGACCATAAGTCTCGAATAGACCTTAATAGCTTAGATTCAACCAAAAAAAAATATATTAGAATTTAGACAAAACATTTTTAAAATGTTATACGACGATAATTTAATTGGAATGTCTCTACGACTCAATAGATCAGAGCCGATATTCCGAACGATAGCAGAACTACCCGGAATCGCAAGAAGACCTCGAACAAGAGACGACATACGACAAAGTAGAAACTTACCATATAGTTATATGATTGTACGGCAAAAGCCAACACTAACTTTTATATTTAGAATCTTATTAGCAATGAATTTAGATTTTCATTTGCAAACATAAAATTTTGAAGTCAAAACTTCATGATCATTACAGGCGTTAAATAAAATTATTAATATACAATAACGATTAATAAAAAGATCTCAGATCGTTTTCTTAAATTCTGCAGTCTTATATAAAACATGTTTGGAAAATATTTATTGAAAATAAAAACAAAAATTAGTAGAATGACAATAAATTGTTAGTAACCATAAAATCATTTGTTGTCCCAGCTTCATCCCCTAAACATAACAGCAATCATAAGCTCACTAATATCATTAAAAAACTAAATCTTTTTCTTAAATAAATTTAAACCATTTTAAACTTAAATTCACTTAATTTTAAAATCAGATCATCAAGACTTATCCTTGGATCTTAATTAATTTTCTATTTCACTAAACTTAAAACTTGATCATTAGGCCAATCCTTGGATCAAAAAGAACAATTTTGTTCTTCCCTACCAACTTAGCAAGTGTCTAACGACCTCAAACGTCGATTCACTATCCAACCCTTCCAAAAAACCCAAGACTAATAGAAATTTTTCAACAAAACTAACCATTCAAATTAGGATAAACAGTGAAGAACTTCGGTTACTCATCTTTCACTTGAACCCTCCTCTTACCAGACCCAGGATAAATCTTAGACTTAGTAAGTTTAAAAATAGTATCTAATGAACTACTCGCGTTCTAATTATACCTGAACCTTGTGGATCGATTTACTATTCTCCAACCCTTGAACACAATCACTACCCCTAAGTAAGATTAAGTAAGTTAGCACCTTAGCTTATACTAGCCACGAGAAAGTAAAAAATCATTCTTCGGAATCGATATACTTTTCTCTCCAACCCTGAACAAAAAGACCCAGGTTAGGCTAACCAAAAAATCGTAAGGACTAACAGTTTAAGAAAAGTAGACATCATCTAACAACTTTTTGCATCCCTCATCCTAAACCTTATGTCATTCAAAAATCTAGGAAATAAACAAACAATCGTTTTACATAATTGTTAAATAGATAACAAAAAATACGATCTTGTAATCACACCTCATACACAAACAGTTGGATATATTAGAACAAAACGACTAACAATTAAAAGAAAAATCATAAACAAACAAAGACAAATCACACAAAAAAGATTTTCAAAAAATAGAAACGCATTTTCAGAATCAGAAGCCAGCAATTTAGATGAACTCTATAAATTAAAAGAATCGATTGACAAAAATTGTCCTATCCACGATCAATTATATTTTTCCGACTCAGAAACAACTTCAAATTCATCAAAAAGAGGAAAAAGAAGAATAAAAAAACAATTTAAACACAAACCAGTACACTTGTATAATTGGAATCAACCAATTAGGCACATCGATAGTTATATATTAACAGTCATTAAACGAAAAAATGAGCCACAGCCACACTCAAAGTGACGAAAGTCCAGATGACGAAGAAGTTTACCCCTTCCTCGTAGATGCACCCAATGATAGAGGGCAGCATATATTTTGCAAGAATTTACTCCTAAATTTGTTTGAACCCGGAATCAGTCCATGCAAAGCAGAATTCCCAGATGTAAAAATCAAAAGACAAATTATTGAACATTATCTGAAAAATATATGTAATTTAACACAACAATACGGAATCTACACCATAGAATTCAGCACACCAAATCCGAATCATCGCAAATATGTCATTCAAACTAATTCACATCCCCCACAGGATCGCAGTGAAAATTACCCATTTTTTCAACAAAATAAAAATAAAAAGCAAGCACCTCATCATACGGATTACTTATCATCTGATGACGATTATTTACAACCAGATATTTTTGCACCGTATATCGCGGACAAGGAGCACAAAAACCTTATACATATAATAGAATCTTTTCTCAAAATCCAACAGAAACACGAAATCAACAACCAATACAAATGCAAAATTCAACTAATACACAATCTTTTCAACCAATTCAACCACAAAATCCAACGATCACACACTCGTACCAACCAACTCAAATGCAAAACGAAATACCACTCCCATATTATCTTCAACAACACGAAATAACAAAGAATCAACTTTCAAATTTTTCACAAATGCCAAATGCCGCAGAATCACTACAAATGACAATGAATCCATACCTTATGGGTGGATCATCAATAACATCAAATAAACCACTAATGGTTTTCACAGGAACAGATCCTGAATATTCTGTAGAAGATTATTTAAATGCAGTAACAGCAAATTTAATTTTAATTATAGGACCTGAACCAATTAATACACCATTACATCAAAATTGGATACATCGACGCACAGCGTTGATACAAACAACCTTAGATGGCGCAGCCCAAAAAAGGTTTTCAGTATTACCTATAGAAATAAAATCAGATTGGAAAAGATTTACACAAGAATTTTCAAAAATGTTTGACTCCGAAAGAAATAAACAACACCAAAGAGTTTTATGTAATGAAATTCGCAGATTACCAAATGAAACCATCAAACAATTAGCAGTACGCATCGAAACACTAGTTCGAAAAGCATATTCATTAAATACACATGACTATAAAAACACAAAAATGACAGAAATTTTAATGATGACCTTAACACCTCAATTAAGGAAAATAGCAATAAATAAGAAAGCATCTCATCCTTCCTCAATTCGAGAGCCAGATTTAGATTTTCGAAAACTAGTAGACAAACTAGAACCAGCGGAAATTACAATGAAACTCGAAGAAACAAAAAATCTAAAACTACAGTATGTTAATCGAATCGAAACAAATACTACGCAGATCAGTAACATACAGGAATCAGATACAGATCTAGTTGAAAAAATCACTGAAATACTAAATATTTATGAAAAACACCCAAATTTTAAAGGTAAACCATCTTTCAAAAAATGGTGTAATTATTGCCGACGATACGGACATAGTATCTCTGAATGTAGACAAAAATAACAAGATAACCAGAACAAACCTCAAAAACATAGAGAACCAAACAAATCATTCTATCAATATATGAAGAAAGATCAAAATTTACCAAACAAAAACATATACAGTAACAACAGTTCAGGAAAACCACTTCCGAACAACACCAGTTACACAAGGAATCAATCACCATATAACTCAAGTTATAGAGGAAGATCACCAGAACGAAGAAATACACAGAATTATTCACAAAATAATTATAATCGATCAAATAGTCGAAAGAACTATTCACGATCAAATTCCAATGCAACACAATTTGTTTCTAGATCCAGTTCCCAATCAAACCCAAGGAATAAACACTATTCCAATAGTCAATCACGAAACTCATCATATAACAGAAACAGAAACTATTCACATAATAGAAATAGAAGTTATTCGAACAATCGAAATCAGAATTACCCGAACAACCGATCAAGAAATAACTCATATAACAGATCAAACTATCACTCATATAACAGATCAAACTATCACAGATCAAATAATAATTATCAAAACAGATCGCGGAATAATTCACAAAATCGAAATTCAAGTTATAATAATCGATATAGAAATTATTCTCAATCACCACATAGAAATAATAACCATTATGATAATTCTAAAC